TGTGCACAGGTGGGTGATGGATGGATTGTGTGTGCAAGGTGGGGGAGGGGTGGATTGTGTGTGCACAGGTGGGTGATGGATGGATTGTGTGTGCACAGGTGAGTAGGTGGGTGACATAGGGACAAGGTGTGTCAAACCCTAAGGCCTCTTTCCCCCTGGCATTCTAGCGTGAAGTCTTAGCCGGGTCCCTGTCATCTGTCAGGGTGGCCAGCTTCACTCTACACTTGCAGACTGCCTGGCATGCACCCCCAGCTTGTGGGACGCTGTAGCCAGCAGCTCTCTGGGACAGAACCTCAGAGGCATCTGCCAGCTCCAGGCTCATTAGCAGTATTTACAGCAGTAATCTACAGTCCCCGGGGACAGAGAAGGCCTAGTCATGGGAGAGCAAGGGAAGGTCCCAGTGGTACCTGGGGCCTCCTGTCTGGCAGAGGGGAGCCCCCGAGAGCAGCCCCAAATATCTGGCGTCTGGTCCCCCGGGTACACAGTGAGCCGATGTGTTTTTGTGATGGTGGGGACACTTGCCTTTGTGACAGCCAGTGAGAGTAGCCCGAAGCCGTCCCCCGGGTGGCTGTAGGAATCCTGCCAGGGGCACCAGCATTGGGTGTGGGCAGGCCCGGAACCAGCTCTGGGCTTGTTGGCACAGCTGCCCGATCATCGCTGGATGGGACGTAGCAAAGTAAAGGAGCCTGGCCAGGATCTCGGTGTACAGGACGCTGTTCTCTGCAATGAAAAGAGGTGTGTCACCTCCTGGCTGAACCTCGCCACACCCACGAGCCCCAACTCTTACAGGATCGCAGGGGAGAAGCTGGGACACCCCAGGCCCTGTCACCCTTCCTGCCTCGCTGTCTGTGTCCATCCATCCCCCTGCCTCCTGGACATAGACTAGCTGCCAGCCTCCAGGCTCTGCTGACCATGTTCCCTCTGCCTGGAGCTCTTCCTCAAGCCAGGCATTCTCCTCCAAGGGCGCCTCTCCATCAACGAGTTAATTAACTAAGTATTCATTTTGTTATTGTCCAGATCAGCCTTGACGCCTGGGCTCAAGACAGCCTCTCACTGCGGCTCCCCAAGTGGCTGAGACCCAGGTGGACGGGTGAGTGGGTGGGGTGAGGAAGCAGGGGGATGGACCGATTGGTGTGTGTGTGGGTGCTGATGGATGGGAAGTAGGTGGATGGATGGAAAGGTGGGTGGTTGGGTGGGAAGATGGACGAATGTGAGGATGGCAGGCTGACCGACAGATGGATGGGCAGATTGGTAAAGTGTGGAGGGAAGACTGGAAGGGTGGACAGACGGACAGACGAAAGAAGAAAGACAAGGGGGGGTGGGAGGGTCAGTGGATAGGTGAACTGTGCCCGCTTTCAAATGCCACCTCCGTCAAACTCACTCCCTGACTCCAGCCCGGTCCTCCCACCCCAGGCTGCTGTTTGACGTCCTCCGGAGCCCATTGGCCGCCCCCAGCCCCCACCCCGCTCTTTAGTTAGCCAAGCCCGTCATCTGCCTGGCTACTGATGCACAGCACAGCACATTCACCCAGCAGGCACTTCTGTTCAGTGTGGTGGCACATGCCTGGTGTGCCCATCTCTCGGGAGGCTCAGACAGCAGGATTACGAGTTCAAAGCCAGGTTCAGCTGAATATCGTGATCCTGACCGAGAAAGGACAGAGGCCAGGGATTACCAGTGGATAAATGTGCTTGCTGCCAAGCCTGACGACCTGAGTTCGATACCCAGGACCCGGGAGAGAGCCAACTCCCTCAACTTGTGCTTGACTTCCGCACACAAGAGTGGCTAACCACGTGGGCACACACAAACAGAGCACTTTTGAAATGGAGGGGGCTGAAGAGAATTCTCAGTGGTTTCGAACATGCACCCACAACCAGGTGGCTCACATCTGCCTGTAACTCAAACTCCATGGATCCAACTCCTCTACTCAGTATGGGCACCTGTACACGCATAGAAAAATAAAAATGGAGGACCAAAAATGGACCCATGAAAACCACCCTGGAGCCTGCGACACCCGCTGGAAAATACTGTCCCTACCGGGCTGCCAGGCTCAAACATGCACAGAAATGCTCTGGGAACACACACTGCCGTAGCGCCCTCTGTTGGCGATTTTTTCACCGCACCCTACCCTCTGCTTGGGGCACCACGGATTGTAAACAAAGGAGTTTTTGCAAAGATCTTGCCGTGTGTGTGTGTGTGTGTGTGTGTGTGTGTGTGTGTGTGTGTGTGTGTGTGTGTGTGTGTGTCTGTGTGTGTGTCTGTGTGTGTGTCTGTGTCTGTGCGTGTTGGGGGGGTGGCTCAGCAGGTAGAGCGCTCCCCCAGCATGCACAAAGTCCTGAGCTTCAGTCCCAGCAACATATGAACCAGCAGTGGTGGTACACAGTTGCCATCCCAGCACTTGGGAGGCAGAGGCAGGAGGATCAGGGTTCAAGGTCATCCTTCACCACACAGAGTTCAAAGCCAGACTAGGACACACAAAACTCTGCCTCAAACAATTTACAGGAAGTATGCAGAGCTTTCAGGTTCTCAGAGCCAGAAAGCAGCCCAGGAGGAGAATCCAGGGCCAGGGGAGGACGATGGGGAAGAGGAGGGGGGATGGTGATGATTCTGCAGCAATGGAGAGGACCTAACACCACAGAGTGTCTAGGCAGGTGACAGCTGGCCAAGTGCCAGCCTTACAATCATGGGAGTTCAGGTTTGATCCCAGCACCCTGGCAAAAGCCCAGCCTGGTGGTGCGTACCGTAACTGCGGAGGCAGAGACAGGCGGATCTCTGGAGCGCAAGGCCATCAAAGACACGCCTGACACACCTCGCAGACACATCCGTCAGGCACACCTATCAGGAACACCCACACATCACACACACACATCAGAAATATCAGAGACACGTATTAGACACACACACACACACACACACACACACACACACGCCGGACACACATCAGGCACACAGAAGTCAATGACACCCACTGGACACACTTATCTGACACATTTATAAGTCACACCCAGAGGTGTGGCTTGCCAAACTCTAAGATTAAATACTTTAAAAACTTTATCTTTTAGTGGGGCACAGTGGCAGGGTGGGGGGGTGGGGGGTGGGCAGAGGCAGGTGGATCTCTGGGTTTGAGGCCAGTCTGGTCTACAGAGTGAGTTCCAGGACAGCCAGGGCCACACAGAGAGACCTTGTCTTGAAAAAACAAAACAAAACAAAACAAAACAAAACAAAAAACCCACCCACCTTTTTTGAATTGTTTGACAGTTTAATTCTTTAAATTTCATTTCATTTCTTTCTTTGTGTGTGAATGTGTGCATGCAGACACATGTACATATACCCTGGTGCGTGTGTAGAGGTCAGAGGACAACCTGTGGGGATCACTTCTCTCCTCCTACCATGGGGGTCCCAGGATCGAACTCAGGTCCTCAGGCTTGGCAGCAAGCGTCTTTATCTGGTGAGCCATGGAAGAGGAGCCTCCACTTTACTTTGTGAGGTAAGAGCTCACTGAACCTGAACTCACATATTCAGCTACACTGGGACATGCCTGACTGTACCCTAACTCTGGGGCTGCAGGTGCGTGCTGCGGCTCTGAGGTGGGGCTGGGGATCTGAACTCAGGTCCTCAGCTTGGACAGCGAACACTTTACTAACGGAGCCATGTCCCAGGACCTATGCTCTTCCTCCTCCTGCTCCTCCTTCTTCCCTCCCCGCCTCCTCCTGCTCCTCCTCCCCCATCTGCACCTCCAACTCCATCTCCACTCTTCTGATCTATTCTTGCTTTGGGTCATCAACTCCCTGGCTTCATCAAGTTGCAAGAACACAGTGCCCTCTGGCATTTGGCTGCCCTGGTGCCAACAGGATCCCGCAGAACCGGACCTGAGACAATGATCAACCAGAGCACACTGCTCCAGGTGGCTCAGCTTTCCTTTGTTCCTCCCCCGTGACCCCAAGACTACAGTGAGCTCCTCACATGGACAGACTGCTGGTGCGCCCATACTGAGGACAAAGTCCATTCTTTGTCACTGTCACGTCTTTGTTTCTTTGGGTTTTTGTTGTTGTCGTTGTTCCTTTGTTTGAGATAGGGTTTCTCTGTGTAGCCCTGGCTGTCCTGGAACTCACTCTGTAGACCAGCCTGGCCTCGAACTCACAGAGATCCTCCTGCCTCTGCCTCTCGAGTGCTGGGATTGAAGCTGTGTCATCACGCCAGGCTCTGTCTGTTTTTGTTGCTCTCAGAGTCTCACATAGCCCAGGCTGACTTGAACTTGCTAAGTTTGAAGTTAGCTGAGGAAGACTCTGAACTCCTAATCCTCCTGCCTCAGTCTCCTGACTGCTGGGAAGCCAGGTGTGCGCCGATGCACAGGCTTGCCGCCCAGCTTGTCTCCTGTCAAGTCAGGTGGAAGGCTGGGGTTTCCTCTGGGAAGCCCCAGTGCTGGGGCTCTAGCCTGGGATTCCAGCACCAAGCTCAATCTCAGCACTGGAATTGCAGATGTGCAGCCCCACAGCTGGCTTTTTACCTGAGTGCTGGGGATCTGAAGTCAAGTCCGTTTCTCACAACAAGTCCTTTGCTGACTGAGCTGTCTTCCCGACCCCTGTGATTATTCTCATCTATTCCATCAATTAAAAACCTATGGGACAGCCGGGCGGTGGAGGCACTTGCCTTTAAACCCAGCACTGGGAGGCAGAGGCAGGTGGATCTCTGTGAGTTCAAGGCCAGCCTGGTCTATAGAGTGAGATCCAGGAAAAGTACAAAGCTACACAGAGAAACCCTGTCTTGAA